CATGTTTGGAAGAGATGTCGCATCACTTTTCTCCTCTTCTAACTACGCATTAAGACGGATAATAAAACATTCATATCCTATTATATATACTTACTATTTTTGGTAACTATATCATATTAAAGCATTTATATATACTTACTATTTTTTGTTCTAAGCGTGCATATCCCAAATTCCCTTTTTTGTATGGATACGCGGGTTTTGATACCCGTTGCCGATTTACGCCACTCACAACCTGAAAAAATAAGTTTAAGTCATATCAGAACTCTTGTGGAAGAAGTATATATACTATACACTGTTCATGATAAGTTGTACTTACTAAAAATTCTTTTGTTCTTCGATTGGCAACAAATGTCTCCCATTCTTCTTCTGAAATCAGATCAGTGTACTTCTTTGGATGCTCCGAGTCGACAAAGTTTCCATCAGAATCTTTAAGAAACTTGTTCATTAAAAACGCTCTAAATCCCCTCAGTCGTTTTCCGGCCAATTGAAGACAATATTTTCTCCTGCAATCATCAATATTAAAAGATTTCTGCAAACAAATACACATACATATAACATGTTAGTATAATTAATTTAAAGATGTAACCGTCAACATAATTAAAAATAATCAAATATCATACCTGTATCTCATTCCAAATTTTGTCTTTAGCCGGTTGTAGTGAAGGAATTCTCCAATTATCGCAAGTAATCGGAATTTGCAAACGTACAAGTGCTCCAATGTAACTTGTCAGCACTGCACTGTTAGGCTCAACTAATTGATCTCTTTCATTCCAATGCACATCATACTTAACACCCTTATCTCTCGCACGAATGATTTTTTTCATAATCGTTATTCCTCTTTTGATATCGCCTTCCATGACTTTTGTTGTTTCGTTTCCACCATGTGATGTTTCCTCATTGGTGGCCATAATACCTGTAATTCAGAAAAACCAAAGTATCAAATGAATGATATGCAAATATGTAAATAAGAAATATATACATAAGAAATGTATAAATAAGAAAAACATATACATAATTTTATTGAATGACATAATATGTAATCGTATTGCATGATATAAATATGTAATTTTATTCAATGAGACAATATGTAATTTTACAAGTACCTTTGTCACTAAGATCTCTTTCTTTTCTTAGTTGGAACATGGTTTACTTGTCTCTTAACAACACAGACAGATGGATTGATCCAAATTCCCTCGTTATGATCATTTCTAATATATGATTCATCCGTTCTAATATTCTCATCTTGATCATCTATATTATAAGATTCCTTCTCAACATCAACATCCCCCTTGTCTCCAATGTTATCATCGATTACTTTTTTGGAAAAAAGAACTATAGACCATTTCGTACTTGTCGGATCAGTGACATTGAACACTTGTTTAGCTTGCGTGGCTAAAATAAAAGGCTCATCTTTGTACCCCACCTTATTAAGATCCACTTGCAAAAATCCTGACTTATTCATTCGTATGCCACTATTATTTTCAATCCACTTGCATCCAAAGATAGGAATCTGAAACTTTTCATAATCAAACACCCAAATGCGCTCGATAACCCTAAAATACGACAGATTCACATATTTGGGGTTCAAGTTCTTCTTACTTGAAATGTGCATTGCTTCGGCAAGCACGGTGACACCATTATTTTGCATTGTACTCTTATCATCTTGTTCTTTGGTATAAAATGTGTATCCATTAATTGCGTATGCTCTATAAGAAAACACATGCAAACTTGGACCATATGCTAAACATCTCAACCTTTTTGTTATTGAAGCGGGATCAGAATAAAACTTTGAAAAAATATGATCCTTGAACCATGTTATAAAACTTCGATTGTGCTCACGTACTATCCAATTTTCATTTCGATTTAGATTTAAACCTCGGAGAACGTCCTTGTGAATTTCAACATACAACTCAACCTCAATGTCATTGTGCAGAACATACAAATGCACTTGCTCCCGTTCATCCCTTGAAACTGTCACAACTTTATTTCCAATTAACTGTTTACCTACTATTTTTTCAACAACATTAGATTTTGGGAGGCCAATGGATTGAACGTTGGACAAATATTCAGTAAAAAACTCAATAGCTTCTTCAACAATGTATCATTCAACAATACATCCCTCTGGTCGACTTCGGTTTTTCACATACCCTTTCAATATTTTCATATAACGTTCAACAGGGTACATCCATCTCATATAAGCTGGTCCACACAATTGTGTCTCTTTCACAAGATGGACAACTAGATGTACCATTATGTCAAAAAATGATGGAGGAAAATACATTTCAAGCTCACACAAAGTAATAACCATTTCTTTTTGCAATGTTGGTAAGATCGCAGGATCGGTCACCTTACTACAAATTGACCTGAAGAAAAAACACAATTTAGTTATTGCGCCTCTCACTTTTTCTGGCAAAATAGAACGTATACCTATTGGTAGAAAGTTTTTCATTATAACATGGCAATCATGTGCCTTTAAACTCTTTAACTTAAGGTCTTTCATAGAAACAAGTCTTCTAATATCTGAAGAGTATCCTTCTGGAACTTTAACTTCACTCAGAAACTTACACAATATCTTTTTCTCCTTTCTAGATAAAGTATAAGCAGCAGGTGGTAGATATGTGTGATTTCCTTTCTTCAAGGGTCCTAATTCATTTCTTATTCCCATTGCTACCAAGTCCTTTCTTGCTTTAAGGTCATCCTTATACTTTTCTTGTATATTGAGTAACGTACCAATAACACTTTCAAATACATTTTTTTCAATATGCATAACATCAAGAAAATGTCTTACATACAACGACTTCCAATACGAAAACTCAAACAAAATTGACCTCTTCTTCCACCCACGCGTGACAAGCGTATGAGCAAAAGGCTTGCCAAACTGAGTACTCACATTTTTCACCTTTTCAAAAATTTGTTTGTCGGTCAATGTAGGTGGAACTCTACATTGTTCTGAATTTCCATTGAATGCTTTTCTCCACCCACGGTAGTGATGATTAGAATTTAAGAATCTACGATGACCAAGAAAGACATTCTTCTGACCAAATTCCAACCGCGCCCAATCTGTGTTTTCTTCACAGATAGGACAGACACACTGACCTTTAATGCTATACCCCGATATATTTCCGTATGCTGGAAAATCATTAATTGTGCCAAACAACATCACCCTCAAATTGAAACTTTCATTCCTATATCCATATACAAGAAAAAAGGAGATTTACGACATATGAGTTGCGACAATTCCTACGAAACTGTCCTTATTCCTGAATTGCGACAATTGTCACGACAGTTAGAGCTAACTGTCGCAGATTTTCTAAACATGTTAAGTAACATAATTGCGATAGTTATCAAAGAACCGCTCTCTTTTGACAATCGCGACAGTTAAAACTAACTGTCGCGACTACTTTAACCAATCATAATTGATACTTTTTTTTATTCTTTTATTTTCTTATTTTTTCGTTAATTATTTTATTTTCACTCCTTTTCACTTTTATTTGGTAATTATTATAATAATAGTAACAATAATTTAATTTTTAGAAAATAATAAAATTTCCTCCCATTACACGAAGGTTCAAAACAAAGTTTTAAAAAAATTTCGCGACGGTGGTACTGTACGAATTTCAACCGCTGTTAACCCTTAGCTACAACATGAATTTCAACCTCTACCACCTTTAAACCATCCAAATTGTTCATAACGGCACGCCAATTGATATAAACCGCCCTCGTGCTGAAGCTACTGCACAGGAATTTCAACCGTCGTCCTTCAATTTTGTCTCCCAACTTTTTAAGCGCGCCGAATAATTGGAGAAATATATGATTTTGGTTTGCTTCTATGAACTTCTTTGCTTCTCGGCGTGAAGACGAAAATTGTTTGCTTCTCTGAACTTCTTAGATTCTCGATGTGAAGAGGAAAAAGGTTAGTCTATCATAAGCTTACATAAGTTACTTATTTGCTTCTGAATCAAAGCTTGTCAAAATGTAGGGTTTTGTGATTGTTTTCTTTCTATTGTTAGCATTATTGTCGATTGTTTGTTATATTTTTGTGTTGATTTTGAAGTGGATGATGCTAGGTTTTGAGGAGTGAGTTTTTAGGCATTGGGTTGGAATTTTCCCTTGTTAGGGTTTTTGTTGTTAGAAGAAGTGTTTCTAGTTGTTATTACTGTAGTTTGGGGTTGGATGATTGGTTTTGATTTTGAGGAATTGTTGGAAACCTGAAATGATATTGAATTATGAAGATTCAGATTGTGAAAATGTGAGTGTTGATGTTGTTTGTAATAGAAAAGCTATGAAGATGAACTTTGTTAAATGAACTTTGTGAAAATGTGAGTGTTGATAATAGAAAAGCTATGAAGATGCACTATTATGCACATGTTATTTTTCATGTGATCCTGTATCAGTTGATTCTTTTGTGGTTTTCTTAATATAGTAAAATACTTTTAACTTTTTTTTTATGCACATGTTATTTTTCACGTGATCCCGTATCTTATTGTTTATTTATTTCACTTTGGTTTCTGCCCAGAGTTGTTGTTCGGGTGCGTAGTGATATCAGAATGAGATTCTCATATATCTCTATCTAGTCTTGGGGCATCATCTTTGAAGCAAAGCCAGCAGTTTAGATTGGGTCTGGAGGGGAGGTTGGGTTGTATTTTTGTGCATTATTGTTAGTATTTTTTTTGTATTTCCTTTTAGTATCAGGTGCAGGGGTTTTTGATACTGGTTAATCGGGTAGGCTGCTTTAGCAGTTTATATTTGTTTATGCAGATCTCTGTTATAGGGAATTTTTGGTGATATGTTTTCCTTTGGCATTGCTTATGCCTTTTGTTGGTTAATATAATTTCTTTTGCTGCTTTAAAAAAAAACTATAATTGGTTGGTAGTACATAAGAACTTTATCAATATTGAAATTCAAATCATTATTTACAATTACTAAACTTAATTTATTTCCGACAGTATGACCCTGAAATAACTCCTGAAAATGTGTGATATCATGGCCCACCTCAAGTAATGCTTGCATACTTGAAGTTCCAGTGGTCACTTGGTGAGGATTCAAAGCGCAGAGAAGCATTTGTTAGGATACAGGTATCATATGTTTTCCTCTTGTGTATTGTTCAAAGCTTGAATATTAATCAACCATCCTTCTGCTTTATCTTGCCTAGGATTTAGCTATGGAATGTTCAAATGTACCCAATATTCAGCCAGTTAAGCACTCGGTCTTCACTAGTGGTTTAAATCCAAGTGTTCCTCTCTTTGCTCGTGTTTATCTGAATCTTGGCTCCTGGAAGTGGACACTTTCTCCTGGACTGGTTGACGAATCCATAAAAGGTTTTTAATGTTTATAATTTGGATCTTTAACATAAAATAATATTTGATCAATTTTTAATTTTGTTTCAATATTTGTAGATATACTCGATGCATTCTCAAAAGCTACTCAATATGCAAATAAATGGGCTAAAGCTTGGCATAAATGGGCATTGTTCAATACAGCAGTGATGTCTCATTATACTTTAAGAGGTTTCCCAGACATTGCAGCACAGTTTGTTGTTGCTGCTGTCACCAAATACTTTCATTCTATAGCATGCGCAGCAAATTCGAAAGTTGTTGACGGGAGTTTATAGTAAGTAATTTGATACGTTTTTACTGCAGAATATAATGCTTATTATTCAATAGAAGTAATAAATGATTGGACTCAAATGTAGAGATAGTACAGTAAGGACACCCGGCATTGGAGTTAGCTTAACTAAAAAGTAATGACACTCATATATTGACTTGTTTTGGAAACTGAATAGGAGTGTATTTCTGTAGTGTACATTGTAACACCCCGTTCCCAAAATAAAATAAAACAAACAATTAAAACACATATCAGAGTTTCTCTCCCAAACGGGATGCCACAATACACATCAAATTTTCCACAAGTATTTTTCCAAATAATTTAACTGAATTTTTCAATAAAATTTGCAGCGGAAAAAGATATGGTCTGTCATAACACAAAATACTATATACATACATCATCCATACCCATCGTCATCATTATATATACAATAACGACCATCTGCCCCAAAATACACAAAATCAACAAACATCACTACACATATACAAAAGACAGATACGCCACAGGGGCACACATATCAAAATTGACAGTTAAACTCCCAAAGCGACCTAGTGTTATGTATCAAAGCAGCCCTACGAAGACACCATAATCCAACAGGTTAAACACCTGGATTGTTTGTACTTCCGAAGAAGCACAGACCACAACAACAACAAATGGGGTGAGAATTACGATTAAATAATAATGGTATGATAATACATGAAATAAAAGGCAGAAATCAATAATAGTACTATTTCATATACAAATCATCCGGACTCACGGTCCCACCATCAACCACAATATACAATCACGCAACAAATGCACTCACACAACTCTAACATACGATACCGACTCACAATTCACGATGGGCATCGGGCCATCAACCCTCCTTACAGGAGCACATATCACCGATGGGCACTTGGCCATCAACCCTCCACTCAGGGAGCACACCACACTGATGGGCAACTGGATATTAACCCTCCACAATGGGAGCACCACAACAATACTGATGGACACCTGGCCATCACCCTCCACAACGGGAGCACATCTCCGATGGACACCTGGCCATCACCCTCCACTACGGGAGCACCTCATCAACATCGATGGACACTTGGCCATCACCCTCCCCACCGGGAGCACACACAATAACATCGATGGACACATGGCCATCACCCTCCTCTACGGGAGCACACAACGATATTCACACGCATCAAACATCCAGCACACCAAGTGCACACCGATCCTATTGATCCACCCCTCACACAACATATACATATACACAACGTACAAGGCGTACCGATCCCACGGATCCACTCACATCATAAAATACATACATAACAAGCACACACAGTGCGTCGATCCCACGGATCCATTCACCACACAACTTATCACATACAATGCACACAAGGCATGTCGATCCTACTGACCCAATACATCACGTAATAGCACACAATGACAATGCATAATAAGCGTATCGATCCTCACGAATCCACTCACCACAACGCACCAACAAAACGCGCTCAAGGCGTCACGATCATATTGTTCCTCACATCTCACACACAGCACACTCACGGTGCACACATCTCAAGTACGCATCCACACCGGTTCATACATAATGCGTACTCCACCAATTAGGCCACTTGCGATAAATGCCAACTACACTGCCCTACAACCTCCAACATACGCTCGCATCAGCTCTCCAACAAGCCTCTCGTCACACATGACCAACGAGGATCCAAGTCCACAGCGGAACAACACAAAAATAGCAGCAGAATCACAAACTGTTGTCGGGCTTGCTGGCACATTCGCCCGACGAAGCCCCGCAACGAACACTCGCTGCCATTCGTCTGGCGAAACCTCTGGCGAAGCCAAACAGAAGCTTCTGCCAGCACTCGCTGGCTAGTTCGCCCGACGAAGCCTGGCGAAGGCTCGCCCCTCATTCGCCCAGCGAATACCTGCGTGCTCAGAAAAATTCTGCGCACCAGAATCATCATCCACTCCCGATTCCGCCCCGATTAAATCAGAACTCACAACTACCAACATACTACCACTGAGCTACGGGTCTATTCCCGATTCTATCCGACAAAACACATCATCTTCTCAATTTACCGACTTCCGACATAACTCCGGAACTACTCAAAAACCCCAAACTCATTCAACCCAATATCCCCAGCACATGCAAACGAATTAATCATCAAACAACACAACATTCACATCAATAACAGCATGCAATCGACATCAAACATCAAGAAATCTATGGGGATTAGGGATTTCCCCCTTTCTACCGATTAATCATGCATTTACCCAATTTAACTGATTATTCTCCCCCTTACCTCAAATCAAGCTTTGATGATGAACAAGCTCCTCAATCCACACGAAATCCGCTTGCTAAGTTGTTGTTCTTGATCGTGTAGCTCTCCTCTTGCTCAACCGTGTTCTCCTCTTCTTTCCAATTCTATTTTTCCAAAATGGCAATGTTACCCCTCATCCCAAATAATCTTCTTTTTAATCCAAAATAAATATAATTCTCTTAATTCCTTTAATTCAAAAATCCAATTAATAACATTTTTCTCATTTATATTAATATTAGCAATAATAATGATAATAATTAATAATAATTTTTACATTACTATCAATTATCACATTTTATCACAATTTATTAATATTATGAGCTCTTGACCTTCACAATAATTCTCAAAATACACCCACGAGTAAAATAATCACAGAAACCAAAAATAATTAAAATGGGCGTTACAACTCTCCCCCACTTTAATTATTTTCGTCCTCGAAAATACCTGATGGAATTAGCTCCGGATATGCTTCCCTCATCCTGCTTTCCAATTCCCAGGTCACACTGCCACCTGCAGCACCTCCCCAAACTACTCTCACCAACGGTATCTCTTTCCCTCGGAGTCACTTCGTCTTGCGATCCTCGATCCTCAACGGCAATGTCTCCACAGTTAGGTTCTCTCTAACTTGGACTTCATCTCTCTGAATCACATGAGACAGATCGTGTACATACTTTCGAAGTTGCGACACGTGAAACACGTCATGCAAGTTCGAAAGCTCTGGCGGCAACGCCACCCTATAAGCCACAACACCAATCCTCTGCAATATCTGATATGGTCCGATAAACTTCGGATCCAACTTCTTGGACTTCAAAGCACGTCCAACACCCGTCACTGGGTTAACCCTCAAGAATACATGATCACCCTCACTGAATTCCAACTCTTTCCTGCGGTTGTCATAATAGCTCTTCTGCCGATCCTGAGATGCTTTCATCTTTTCACGGATCATCTGCACTGTCTCAGTAGTCTGTTGTACCAACTCTGGTCCCAACACAACACGCTCACCCGACTCATACCAACACAAAGGAGTCTTGCACCTCCTACCATAAAGAGTCTCAAACGGTGCCATCCCGATACTGGAATGGTAACTGTTGTTGTACGTGAACTCTACCAAAGGCAAATGAGTATCCCACGTACCACCTTTCTCCAACATACAAGCCCGCAACAAATCCTCCAAAGTCTGAATAGTCCACTCCGACTGCCCATCCGTCTGCAGATGATGAGCTGAACTCAGCTTCAACTCAGTACCCAAAGCCTCTTGTAAACTCTTCCAAAACACAGAAGTGAACCTCAGATCTCTATCCGACACAATACTCAATGGTATACTGTGCAGCTTCACAATTACCCGAATATAAATCTCTGCAAGCTTCTCCAACGGAAAGCTAATACTGATCGGTACAAAGTGTGCAGACTTTGTAAGCCGATCCACAATCACCCAAATGGCGTCAAATCCTCTCGCCGTATTCAGCAAACCTGTAACAAAGTCCGTAGCAATATAATCCCACTTCCAAATCGGAATCTCTAACGGTTGCATCATCCCAGAAGGTCTCCGATGCTCCACTTTCGATTTCTGACAAACCAAACAAGCATAGACATATCGATCAATATCCTTTTTCATGCCCAACCACCAAAACAACTTCTTCAAGTCCTGATACATCTTCGTAGCTCCTAGATGAACGCTCAGGCTACTACGATGTCCTTCGTCCAAAACCGACTTCTTCAACTCATCATTATCCGGCACGCAAATTCTGCCCCGAAACCTCAACACACCCGCACTATCCAACCTAAAATCACTACCGGAGTCACTTTCGGCCTCTCGTATCAAATCCATAAGTTTCACATCCAACTTCTGATGTTCTCTAATCATGTCCAAGAAATCATTATTCACTTGCAATTTACCCAACGTCACACCATCCGATGTAAACTCACAAACCATGCTCAAATCCCGAAACTGCTCAATAAGCTCCATCTCTTTTACCATCAATGCCGACATATGAATTGTCTTTCTGCTCAACGCATCCGCAATCACATTCGCTTTCCCTAGGTGATAACTCAAACTAAAATTATAATCCTTCAAGAATTCCAACCACCTCCTCTGCCACATATTCAGCTCCTTCTGATCAAACAAATATTTCAAACTCTTATGATCACTGAATACCTCAAACCTCGAACCATATAAATAATGTCGCCAAATCTTTAACACAAAAACTATCGCAGCCAATTCAAGGTCATGAGTAGGATAATTCCGCTCATGCACCCTCAATTGTCGCGAAGCATAGGCTACCACCTTTCCATTATGCATAATAACTCCACCCAATCCTATTTTGGACGCATCACAATAAACAACAAAAGGCTCACTCGGATTCGGTAACACCAAAACCGGCGCTGAAGTCAATCTCTTCTTCATCTCCTCAAAACTCTCTTCACAAGCAGCATCCCACACAAACACTTGATCTTTCCTGGTCAACTAAGTCAACAGCAAAGCCAATCGAGAAAAGCCTTCAATGAATCTTCGGTAATACCCTGCTAAGCCCAAAAAGCTTCTAACCTCTGTTACCGTCTTCGGCGGTTCCCACTGTAACACCGTGCTCACCTTAGATGGATCCACAGAAACACCATCACCCGAAATAACGTGCCCCAGAAAACTCACTGTTTTCAACCAAAACTCACACTTCGATAACTT